TCTCTGGGGCCCCCCCTCACTCCATTTATTTTATTTTCACTTTCGGAACTGAGGACCCAAGTGCTCTACCAGTGAGCTAAGCCCCGAATGCCATCTTTAAAAATTATCTTTATTAGACTATTCACTTGATATGTGAATGTTTTGTTCCCGCATATGTAACTGCACCACATGAGTGCTTGGTGCCCGTGGAGGTCAGAAGAGGGCCTCAGATCTCCCGGAACTGAAGTGGTTATGAGCCGCCGTGCGGGTGATGGGAATTGAACCTGGAGGACACACAAGTGCTCTTAACTGCTGAGTCATCTCTCCAGCACACCTCGGCCCCCCATTAAAACAATTATCTCTATTTCATGTGGACGAGTGTGTGTCTGCCTCTATTTTATGTGGACGAGTGTGGGTCTACACGTGTGTTTGTGCACCATGAGAATACCTGGTACTCAGGGAAGCCAAGAGAAGTCAGATCCTGGAATAGCAGTTAAAAAGCTGTTAGGAGCTTTCACCTAGGATGCAAATTTCTTTTTATGTATTTATATGAAGCTGTGTGTGTGTGAGTATATGCTGTGTGTGTGTGTGTGTGTGTGTGTGCGCGCGCGCGCGCGCGCGTGCATGCATGGCTGTGGAAGTCAGAAGGGGACATTGGATCTCTACATTTTGAGTTACAAGTGCTGTGAGCCGCCCACGCTGGGAGCTGGGATCCAAACTCCAGTCCTCAGAAAGGGCAGGAAACAGTCTTATTTTTTTTTTAATTTTTATTTTAATCAATTAATTAATTAATTTGAGAAAGTCTCACCAGAGAGCACACAGTTACAGAATCCAGGGCAGGACTCAAATTTAGGGAGGGGCTAGGAGAGCACAGGACCTGGTAAAAGAGAAAGACAGAATCGGAGAATCTTGAGAGAGCAGGCCTCTCTGGTAGAGGAGCAGGGTGAAGCAGGCAGGCAGGCAGGCAGGCAGGCGAGGTAGATGGGACTGGAGCCAGAGAGGCATCCGGCGGAGACCCCCGGAGGGCCTTAGCAATCAGAAGCAGCCGTGAGCCCCCAGGCACCTTGGCCTGAGACGCAGGATTCAGCTGAGAAGGGGGAGAGAGTGGGTGGGAGGACTCTTCTCTTGAGATGCATCTGTTGAAATTGGGAGTGAGGAGGCTGTTTGCGATGACGGGGAAGTGGAGTAAAAGCTTTTACAGCGGCGGAGGACCAGCATGTGCCCTAATGGGGGAGAAGAGACCACACTGCACCTCCTAAGTGCCGGGCAACCCATTACTTTGCTGTTCTGAGCAGATGGGTGTCTGGGGCTGTGAGGGAAGTGAATTCACTTCTATTAAACCGACTTTGGTTGGGAGTGGAAATCGAGGGCCGACTTCCTACCCAGCGTTGCTGCAAACCAGGCATTGTCGAACCTGAAGGAAGGCAAGGCGCTGGCTTGTGTCTGGAAGGAGCTCGCTTCAGTGTCAGAGACTGGACACATCTGTCTTTCTCAGGGAAGGGAGGACTATGGTGTGGGCGGCGGCTGGACCAGAGCTGCCTTCACAGACCTAGAACTGCCTCCACCTTCTGTTCTTATTCTTACAGCAGTTAGAACAGGGTTAACACAACTCTGGAAAAACCTACCAGAATAGCTCAAGTGGCCAGTTCTTCTTTTGTGCTCAGTGTTCTCAGCCTGGACACCAGGCCTTCCCGTGACTGGCCTGTGGTCAGCAGCCCCAGAGCTTCCCTTTTCGGTCACACTTCCTATCCTAGCCCAGATAGACTCTGCAGCTCACTCATTCTCTTACACTCGCTGGGTCAGCACAGGGACTCATCCTGTTCTCAGAGGCCGACAAAGGGCAGCTGATATGAGAGCATTGGCTGAGAGCCAGGTTTTGGACATCTGCAGCCCTGGCACCTGCTTCCTCTCCCCTGCGCCACCTGCCCCCAGACTGCCATCTCAAGCTGCTCACTTGCATGTCTCATTTTCAGAGCCACTCAAGATTGCCTGAATTCATGCGGGCCATGTGTGTGCATCCACGCATGGCAGAGCGTCCGCATGCCTGTGGATGTCTTGGGGAGGGGAAGCCTGCAGACTTTCACATGCAGTTTGCTCATCTGGCTGACTGAAATTCTACTTTCATGAAGTAACTTTAAAACAGGAAGTGGGTTTCCAAAAATGCTCCCTTCTGACAGAATGCCGGTGGCGGGAGAGGCTCATGGCTCTGGAGAGCCAGTGGGTCTTCGAGAGACGTGAGGTTCCAAACTGCTGCTCCGGGCCTCATGATGGTCCCCAGACCTATTCTAGAAATAGTCGTATTTATCTTAAGAGGCTCCTATGTCTTTGAGTTTGACATTAATTAATTGCTCCTGTAGTCAAGAAAGAACAGACACAGGGCTTTGAGTGGTGACCCCACCTAGGCACTGTTCCTGTACCAGCAGAGGTATAGTCAGGCCTCGGCCTCATGGGGTCTCTTGCCTTCTAGCCTCTGGCATGGAACAAGCTCATTTTTTTTTTTCTGTTGTCAAGCACTACTAATTGGAAACTTCCAGGGATTTTCTGAAAACCCGAAGTTTTCAGAGTCTGTTTTTCCCTCAGCCAAGCTCTGCAAGCATCCTTAGAAGCTGAGGGCCTCTCTGGGAGAAAAGTGTTTTCTTAGGGCCTCCTGACCTCCCCCATCTCCTCCACAAACCACAGCTGTGTGCTGCACACTAAAGGCATCTCTCCACTGCCTTGCTCCATGGGGTCAGACGGGGCCTGAGAGCTGAGGTTCACACAGTAGCTGTCTTGGCTGTGGGGAGGCAGGTGCACACACATGTCCTTCCTTTTCAAGAAAGGGGGCCTCAAGGGAGGTTCTGGTGGAGAGTGCCGAGTCTGCTGCACTGCCTGAGGCACTTGGAAGATGGTGCATACTATAAAGCCTCCTTCCATCAGAGAAGGTCACAGCCCTGTCAGGGTTCTCAGTGGCTCCCGCCATGGGGTGGGTCACCACCCTGCCAGAGTTCTCAGAGCCAGGAGAGTACAGATGAGTGAATACCTCACTGGCGCTGCCTCTGGGATACCACCATGCTTTCCAGGGGGGCTGCACTAGGGACTTCTGGGCACACAGCGAGTGTTCTCCGCATTACTTACACTTAATGTTTAGTTACTTGAAGGAAAACGCCCTCTTCTGGAAGACTGACAAGCCATGTACCCTGGAGAGCTCAGTGAACCTCATGGGACCTGAGTAGGATTGAAGCCTGGAATTAGATAGTCCTGATGTCACCTGTCCTGGCCCTGGTCCTCACCAGGAAACTAGCATTAACAGGAAGACCAAGAAGTTAAGGGGAGGGAACAGGCCTACTGTGTCTGCAGTACAGCAGGTGTTGGCCATGGCGCGCGCGCGCGTGTGTGTGTGTGTGTGTGTGTGTGTGTGTGTGGTTTCACGGGACTTGGTTTGTCCTGGAGAAACACACGTAATAAAAAACTTCATTTGAGTGTATTCATAGTGCTGTACAGACACAGCCACTTACTCGATCCCAAATCCTTTCAAAACTCCGAAGAAAATCCTCATGACCATCACCCTTTTGTTCCGGGCAGTCAGAGTCTAGGCCAGGTGTTTCCAGGTTCTCAGTCGAGGAATTGAAATAAAGGTGCAGAAGGACTGAGAAGTAGCAAGGAAACCACTCCACAGTGGAGCTGTAGTACCGCTCAGAAAGAAATGCTCTGCCCAGAGTGCCAGCAGAGACTGGGGATGGTGGCGCACGCTTTTAATCCCAGCACTCAGGCAGAAACAGGTGGATCTCTGTGAGTTTGATGCCAGCCTGGTCTACACAGTAAGTTCTAGGACAGCCAGAGCTAGATGGAGACTCTGTCTTGAGAGAGAGAGGGAGAGAGACAGAGAGACAGACAGACAGACAGACAGACAGACAGCAGGTCACATGAGTGAGAGTGTATTCAGGGGCCCCAGGTTACTGAATGGGATTACTTTGATGGGGTCTAGAGGAAGGAGGGGCTGGTTACTAAGGGCTGTGTCATGGGTGGTTCTCTATTTTGATTGACATGTTCTAAGGTACAACTTTTACTGTGCTTATCTCTTCCCATAATGCACCTGATCTGAATCATGCACACTGGGTTGTACTTAGGCATAAGATGGTAAATAGAGGATTCTCTCTAAAAATTCACTTAGAGGACACAGTCTGCTCTTTTGCTCATCTACCCAAAACTAGTTCAGGACAGAATGGCTCCCGACCAATGGACCGGGTTATGACTGGAGTGTGAGTGAACGGAAACCTGAATGAAGTTTGGAGGTTGTTTGTGTAGCTCAGTGCAGGTGGGGGGTCCTAGGTCACTAGGCGCATTGTTAGGATAGCGGTGTGTGGGCACAGAGCACATGTAGGTGAAAGCCCTAGGCTGCCAATGCATTATTGGAAGAAGGGTGTGTATATATCTCAAACTGAGTGAAGTCCCAGGTGGCTAAGCTGTTCCTTGTGCTCACCCACCTCACCTTCATCACCATTTCTTCCTCCTACAACCCCTGAGCAACTACTAATCTTTCTGTTTCTGGGGCTCTGCACATTCTAGGTGTTTCCCCATGAACAAGATTCCACAGTATGCAGCCTCTGTGACCGCTTTCCTTCATGTAGCTAATCAGTTCCAAGGTTCATTCGGGTTGGAACTTTGGCCAGCAAGTACTTCGTTCCCCCCTCAAGACCAAGTAACATTTCCATGAACTCTTAATTTGAAGGTTTCACAGGATGGTACCAAGTCACAGTCGAATGTCATTTTTATTGTTTTTGAATGATCAGTGTAGCAATTTTGTTTCAGGAGACTTGGCTGCAGATGCATTAGTAGGTATGGGATAGGCATTAGTAGGTATGGGATAGGCATTAGTAGGTATGGGATAGGCCAGGCTGCTGGGGCCTTCTCAGGGAGCTTGGCTCTGGACAGCAATAGCTCCCAGCTGCAGTTCTTCCAGGGCTGGCTGGAGGGTGGAACTGGCCTCAGGCCAGGAAAGGCTGTTCTGGTGGGTAACAGTCCAGCTTCTCTGTCTCCTCCAGATGCAGGTAAAGGCCAGGGAGATCTACATGACCTTCCTGTCCAATAAGGCCACTTCGCAAGTCAACGTGGAGGGGCAATCTCGGCTTACTGAACAGATCCTGGAAGAACCGCACCCTCTGATGTTCCAGAAGCTCCAGGAACAGGTAATGTGACCTTCTTGCTCATGCCTTGATCTGAAAAGCTATGGATGTTCACTCCAGGCCTGGGGGAGTTCTTCAGGGAAATGCCACATTCCCCAAGAAATACCTCATCCAGCTGTGGTGGCTGAGGTTACTGAGCCCTGAGCGGTGAAGGTTGGGGAGACCTCGGTTCTGAATTTGGACTGTGTTGACTCTTGACTGTGCACCATTTGAACCACTGGGTGGGATGGGAGGCTAGGTCTGTCTGCAGGATACAGGTTAAAGAAATGTTATGACACCCACCGACGGGAGGGACAGCTGGGCAAGCCTCGAAGCAGCGCCAGGGGATCTACGGCTGTGTTTGTACGAATGGCCAAACCGCTCCCTCACGGCCAGTGGCCCAGAGCTGTCAGGAAATTTATAATGCGGCCTCTTGGTCATAACGACAAAAGGAAAAATTTTGCAGTATATTCCACTTAGAACCAGAAGAGGTAAGTTTAAAAAACGGACATGTTAAAGAGGTAAACCTTAAGTTTTCTGGCAGAATTTCTTATGAGGAATAGTCAATAAATGTCCCTAGACACAAGGGATGTGACCTGAAATTCAGACCTGGATTTAAAAATGTGTGTGCACATCTACACTCTGCCGTGAAATGTGGCGTCCACACGGGGTCAAGGGTACACTTCTGCCAGGAAGGCAGATTGAGGCTAAGGGACCCATGCTGAAGAAGTAACATGGGACAGCTGTTGAAGGTAGAGATAGAAGATGCTGGAAACATCCACGAGGATTCAAAGTAGCAGGGAACCTCGAGCGTTTTTTTTTTTTGTTTGTTTGTTTTTTTTAATTTGGTTTTTCGAGACAGGGTTTCTCTGTGTCGTTTTGGTGCCTGTCCTGGATCTTGCTTTGTAGACCAGGCTGGCCTTGAACTCACAGAGATCTGTCTAGCTCTGCCTCCTGAGTACTGGGATTAAAGTCATGTGCCACCACTGCTTGGCCTCGAGCTGTTTTTGTACAAATACACAAACACCTGCCTCACTGCCTCTCCTGAGGAGGCCACTCACATAGAGGCCCCTCCAACGTGAATAACCCAGTCACATGAAGGGTGCATTAAAACTGGTGGTGGGTCCCACTCCCAGGGTTAACTGTTCAGAGCTGTAGGTCATGTGTGGTGTGGGACCACCTCCCCATGTTCCCAGGGAAGGCTGGTGTTGCAGGTCTAAGGCTGTACAGTGTGGAGAGTTCTGTGTGTTGGCTGAGTCTTCGGGGAGGGGCTTTTTGATCACCTGATACCTAGAGCCTGGAATAGCGGTTCTCAACCTGTGGGTCATGACCCCTTTTGGGGGGGCTCACATATCAGATATTTACATTATGATTCACAACAACAGCAAAGTTACAGTTATGAAGTAGCAACAAAATAATTTTATGGTTAGGGATCACAACAATATGAGGAACCGGATTAAAGGGTCGCAGCTTTAAGGAGGCTGCGAACCACTGGCCTAGAGGATGTCCCAGCCACCGTGAGGCTTCATCTTTGCTCATCATCTGATAGAAAACAAAACACCTGGCAGAAATACAAGCAGAAGCACTTTGAGAACAGTTTCCAACTGACACAGTGGCGATGTAGATCCACGTAAATTCTGAACCAAATCTGGGTATTGAAGGAACTCTGGGCCTCTGGGGGGACTTATTAAGGCCTTTTGCAGGAGGAGCTTTGAGCTATGGGCATAGGTTTGGGAGAGAGAGGCAGACAGGGAAAGGCAGTTTTTGTGACTGTAGCCATGTGGGCACCTCTGTCTATGCTGGCCCTCAGGATCTCCTAAAAGGCTCTGTCGGGTGCTTTAAAATACATCCGGTGTTGAGAGCTTGGCCGGCTATTAAATTCTACATTATCTGCAGCAACAGTGCCCATTCCTGCTGGGCCACCCCGAGAGCTGTTGTCTCCCTTGGCGTGAACTCTCATCTATTCTCCGACGAGTGTTCTTAGCCTCGTTTTGTTGACAGCAGAAGCAAAGGCCCAAGGAGTTGTAATGGCTTATTAGTTAAGTCACTCAGATAGTAAAAGTTGCTAGAGGCCGGTTTTCCGTCCACCTGCCTTCCAAAACCATGGCTGCTCTGCATCCCTCTTAGCCTTCACGGTCTTCAAGTTCAAGGGCGGTTTCTCTCCACCTGGCAGAGGCCCATGATACCCTGGGGACAGAGGGAGTTCAGAGAGCATGTGAACCCAGGCAGTTGCTTTATGGGGCTCCAGAGACCAAGGTGGGAAGGAGAGGAGAGAGGCTCATGGGATTCCACACAGTGGCCTGCACACAGTGTCAAAGATCCCCACAAGACAGCCAAAGTAGAGCCAGCTGCTGTGATCTGCACACAGCCCAGGCAAATGTCTGCTGGGGGGCTGGCTGGTACAGACAGGAGACACGTGGCAGAAAGGGCGATTTTTTTCTTTCTTGAATGACAACATAGTTGTTATTCTGAGACATAGTTTGGCCTCAAACTTCATTCCTCTGCCACACAAATGCCAGGGTCACAGGTGTGTGCCTCCACACCTGGCTAAGTGACAAAAGTTTTAAAAATACTTTTCTATCTACCTGATAGTAAAAGGCACTTGGGAACAAAAGTCTATTGAAGGCACACCACCCCCCCCCCCACCACCGTGATCTCACCTGGAGATAGTCACTAAACAGCATTCCATCTCGAGATGCCCATCTTTCATGTTCTATAAATAATGCACGCCACCACACTCGTTACCAGTGCGGTTCAAAGTTTGACTGTAAAGGAAGTGCTTTTATATCCTGTTGTGAAGCACTGAGAGAGAGAGAGAGAGAGAGAGAGAGAGAGAGAGAGAGAGAGAGAGAGAGAGAGAGAGAGAGAGACTAATTGTCCTTCTAAGGTACAGACGGGTGGATGGGAAAAAATTGCAGCCATCCCATCCCTTGGTATCTCTGGAGACTTGTTTTTGTTCTTTTACTCTTTTTTTGTGGGGGGAGCCATCACCCAGCTCCCAAATAAATCACACATGGAGGCTTATTCTTAATTATAAATGCCTGGCCTTAACTTGGCTTGTTGCTAGCCAGCTTTTAACTTAAATTATCCCATCTACCTTTTGCCTCCGGGCTTTTCCTGCTCTCTTACTCTGTGACTTGCTGTGTAGCTGAGTCGCTGACCCCCGGAGTCCTCCTCTTTCTCTGACTACGGCTTCTCTTTTCACTCCTCCTTCTATTTATCCTCTCTGCCTGCCAGCCCCGCCTATCCCTTCTCCTGCCTCACTATTGGCCGTTCAGCTCTTTATTAGACCACCAGGTGTTTTAGACAAAGTAACGCAGCTTCCCAGAGTTAAACAAATGCAACATAAACAAAAATAACACACCTTAAAATAATATTCCCCAGCAGTGACTGTTTGTAGGAACCCTCCTGCTACACACACGCGCTTAGCATCTTCCTATCAAGCAGTGGTAGATGATGTGTAACCTGTACACATCTCCCCACATGGTTTAAATCCAGTCTGCCATAGTACCATGCCTGTCATCACGTTCTGTTTCTTAGGGAACTGTGACAGGAAAGGACAGCTTGGTACACGGTCAGCTTTTGTTTTCTTGGGGAAGCAGAGGACTGCCTGTGCAGCCTGTGCTGGTTTCCTGACGTGGGGAGAGTGCTGGAGGCACCTGGGCTTTGCTTCATGTTGGAAATCTCTGTCGGGGGCCGAGACACAAAGGGGCTCCACATCACCCACAGTCTTTGCTCCCACAAAGCCTCTTTGAGGACCCTGCTTTCTTTTTTTTTTTTTTTGGTTTTTCGAGACAGGGTTTCTCTGTGTAGCTTTGCGCCTTTCCTGGGACTCACTTGGTAGCCCAGGCTGGCCTCGAACTCACAGAGATCCGCCTGGCTCTGCCTCCCGAGTGCTGGGATTAAAGGCGTGCGCCACCACCGCCCGGCAAGGACCCTGCTTTCTTAAGCAAGAGACATTAGAGGGAAATGTGATGGGGACCCCAAGATTTTAAAAACGTTTTTATTTACTTATTTATATGCACACACACACACACACACACACACACACACACACACACACACACACACACATTTGTGTATGTGTTGCATGTAGAGGCCAGAGGTCAACATTGAGCGTCTTCCTCAGTTGATTCCCTCCTTATTTTTTGCAAGATCCTTTCTCATTGGCATGGACCTCATGGATTGGACTAGATTGGCTGGCCAGGGACCCTCTTGTCTGCACTTCTCCGGTGCTGGGCTTACAGACATGCGTCACCATGCCCAACTCTTAGGTGGGTGCTGGGAATCGGAACTCAGGTCCTTGTGCTTGTTTGGCAAGCGCTTTATTGACTGAGCCCTCCCCCATTTATAAATTCAAGGTCTCACTAAGCCTCAGTCACAGTTTCGGTTTCGCCATGACCGCCGTGTGGCTTAAGGTAGGCCTATCTGAATAGGCTGCTAGCCTCTGCTTTCAGCCATTGTCACCAGGAAAGCTTGAGGTGGCCAGCCACTCATAACGTGGCCTTGTTGTGATGCTCTCGGGGAGCATGGTGGGGCAGCATGGCTCTCGTGGGACACAGCTGGAGCTGAAAGCAAAGCGAACATCCTCCAGCTCAGATTCGATGGCCCCGCATCCCTGCACCCTTAGAAGAAGAGCCTCTTTACTCTAGAAGAAGGTCCTTTACTCAGGTTCTGCTAACTCTTGGTTTACAGACAGTTCTAACAGGTTCTCTAGTTCAGAGCAGATTTGAAGTGAAGTACTGGTAGGGGCTGGATGGCAGAAAGCAAGGCCTACAACCAGGGAGCAGGCAGACAGTGATACTGAGCATTAACCACAGCACAGTGATCCGGGGCCAAAACACATGGGGCCCATGTTCCCACACACCCAGTGTGGGCTTCTCTGTACTCCAGGATGGTAACGGCGCTCACAAGACGCCAAGCAGAAGCCAGTGATGGTCAGTGTATTGTGCGAAGAGTGCACTGTGCCTGTTAGGAAGCTGAATTCCAGGGAAAGCAAGAGAAGTGAGGGGCTTAACTCTCTT